CATACATACATGAATAATAATAATAATAATAATTATTATTATTATTATTGTTATAATACTTAAAGGAATAGTTCACCCAAAAATGAAAATTCTGTCATTAATTACTCACCCTTATGTCATTCCAAACGCGTAAGATCTTCGTTCATCTTCAGAACACAAATTAAGATATTTTTGATGAAATCCGAGAGCTTTCTAACCCTCCATAGACTTGTGTGCAAAGAAAACAAAAATAACGACTTTATTCAACCATTTATTCTCTTCCGTGTCAGTAGCACGACGCTGTGAAGTTGCTGATGCAGGAGCCGGCGTTCTGATGTAGAACACCTATCTCTCTTAGTTCATCGTCTGTATACTCTGGTTCAAATAATTAAGGCTGGGCAAAAAATTGCAAGTCATCCTCTCTGTCGAAATCTTCAGATATGTTTACGAAGACTGCTTTATGTGCAGCGTGCATCTTCTTCTGCTTGTAAACAAGCCGCAGCACATGTGTGTTCTACATCAGAACGCCGGCTCCTGCGTCAGCAGCTTCACAGCGTCGTGATACACTTGTGAACGTGCGGCGAAGACTGATACGGAAGAGAAGAATTGTTGAATAAAGTCATTATTTTTGTTTTCCTTTGCACACAAAAACGTATTCTTATAGCTTCATTACATTACAGTTGAACCACTGATGTCACATGGACTATTTTAACAATGTCCTCACTGCCTTTCTGGGCCTTGAAAGTGGTAGTTCCCTTGCTGTCTATGCAGGGTTAGAAAGCTCTCGGATTTTATCAAAAATATCTTAATTTGTGTTCCAAAGATGAACGAAGGTCTTACGGGTTTGGAACGACATGAGGGTGAGTAATTAATGACAGAATTTTCATTTTTGGGTGAACTATCCCTTTAAGCAAAAAATTATATATATATAAAACTGTTGATGAAACATTATATATGGTACACTTTGACCACAGATTCATTTTTCTAATGAACAGAAAACTGTATACTATCATGCAAATTTGTTACATGGGAATAATAATAATATAATAATCGACCCTGTGTGGGGTCATGAAAATAACATAAACCAAGACCCAGATACTGAGTAATTACAGCCAGATTTCACATCTGAGGTAATACAATGGTACTGTCTGATTTCATATTCATATACCATAGAAGTTCCATGAAACATCGTCAATACACAATAAAGATTTAAAGAACAGTAAAAATATGCAATGCAGGCTGGGTTAGCTGACCTCTCGTGACACAAGGTGCCCAGATGACATTTCAAACAGATAAGAAGAGGATATGGATGAGAGAACTGATGTGTGTGTGGTTATTAAGAGTCCCAGCACCTCGGAAACCGGCTTATAAGAGTATCAACAAAAACCTGTTTCTTCATAATCATACAGTCATGAGATAAGAAAGTCTGGAGAATATGATTCACACGCTGGCATTCACAGAGATAACAGCACATGGATGAGCCTTCAGCATGCGGGTTAATTGGTTGCCTGTCTGGCCCCAGTGATTATAGTATTATGTTTAATATGCTGATGGTGCTATAATTAAAGTATTTCGAAATTAGAAATAAAACGATTCATTTGCAGAATTTCATGCCCAAACTAAGGTTAAATTACATTATTTAGGTATTTATTTATTCAGGGTACATTATTCAGACAATTTCGTGGGTAAATTATCCTGTTTTATGGAAAATTTTAGGAAAAAATCTGGATATTTAGACAAAGTACCATGGTGCTGCCATTTGATGTAGAAGTATGTTTAATATGGTTTAGTAAGGATAATGATTATACATATGATTTGCGCAAAAATAAAACACTATTTTGATGCATTTTTAATTATATATAAATTGTATGTAAGTTATTAACGTGTATTTTTTCTTTTATCTTTAACTGACGTCGAAACTGAGTCAGAGGAGTTTAGCGTAACGTTTGATTGACAGGAATGTGGTCCAATAAATGAGCGTAAAGTGGGCGTGTACTTCTTGCGTAAGCAACTGTCAGCGAATGACAAGGTAAGTTTGTTATAGACACTCTCCTTATCCAATTACAAAGAGAGAAGACCGTTTCCCTTTGACGACACGCAGCCAATCGCTGCTAAGCAAGAGGGCGGTGCTTAGACGGGTGGGTAGCAACAGTTGCCCCGGTGAGGACGAGGCGCCATAGTCACGGTAGTCGTGGCGACAAGAACCCAGCAACAAGAATCAACAATAACAATTTGAACCATTAAGAAAATAAAACTCCGCGCCAAACTAAGATCATCCGTCAAGAAGCGAAAGGTGAAAGCAGCAACTTTACTTCACGCATCCTCCTCTTGTTTTTTGTTACAAGTGCCGAAGTGTGCTAGACACGATTTCCTCAGTTATCGCGCTTTAACTCGACCCCGCGCTTGCGGTTGTTATGACGATGTCAAATCTGCTCGAGCGCGACAAAATGGCGGGTGTTGTAACGTGAGAGTGTGAGACTTTTGACTTGCTGTTGTTTGTTTATGGTGAGTCAGAAGTGTGTTTAACTGACTTGATGACTGCAACGGACGAGTAGTTTAGGATCAAATGTCAGAGAGCGACTTCTGACAGCCAAACTACATTCGACTGTAATCTTTATTCGGTAATCCGGTTTGCTGGAGTTTATTTAACGCAAACGGCGATTTATTTACAGACATTGCGGTGGCTCAAACTCCCTGGAATTGTATTTTTAGGGGGTTAAAAACGTTGTTAAGGGAGTTGTCGATTAACAGCCATATGTGTGCCAAATCAGCTCCAGTGCGGAGGGAGGGGCGTATTCTGGAAAGGGGCGTGGCGTGGGAAGTTAAAAGGGCGTGATTGACACATGTCTATCCAGTTGTAGATGTGGATATCTAACTATATGTGCGTATATAGACTTTGCTTTCTATGCCAGCAATAATATTAAAACACACATATGTAAGAAATGTTACATATAATATAAAATTAAAATAGATGCTATATTAGTGAGGCAAAATCATGCATGATATTTTGCCATTAAAATCATAACACTGACTATATACTCTACATATTGACCATAGAGGGGAAAATAATACATTGCGCAACATAAAAGATTCATTATGACATTAAATGTTCAGCAAGATACTGTGATATTTTATTTTTCAAGGAAGTTTGTCAGCATATTTGAAAATATCCTATGAATATATGCTGCTTGTTCAGGTAAATTGTTGAAATTAGGTATTTTATTTAGCGTTGTTCCTTTAGGTGCTCTCGGTTTTATTTTCATTATTTTAATTTTAATCATGTGAGTTGTTCTGACAATACAAATATATATATCTAACTATATGTGTGTGAATATAATTTGTGCTCTGCCAGCAATAAACAAAACATACATATATAAGAAATGTTATATTTAATATAAACATAAAATAGATGATATATTATTGAGGCAAAATCATGCATGAAGATAATATCTTGCCATTAAAATCATAACATTGAATATATACTCAACATATAGAGGTAAAAATAATACATTACACAACGCAATGTTTAGTCAGATTATAACACAGGATTTATTATGACATTAAACGTTCAGCGAAATGCTTTGCGTGTAAATTTATGAGCGAATTTGAAGCTGTGAATATGTGGTGGTAAATTGTTGAACATTTGTATTTAATTTTAAAGTGTTCAGAGTTTTGTCTTCATGTGCTCTCGGTTTTATTTTAATGGGATGATTTTAATAATGTGAGTAGTTCTTTTTAGGCTGTGTGACACTTTAATTCTGATCAGATGATTCATTATGAAATTTCCCTTTCTCACGGTAACTTCATATGAACTAGCACATACTGTCATCACAAGACAGGGCACGCAGGTGCCGCCCGTTCCTGCTAATTTAAGGAAAATGAGAGTACTGTTAAACAAGTTCAGCCAGCTCAAGGATTTACGTGCGTCTGACAGGGAAAGAAAATGTGTTTAGTTTTACATGCAGTAAACTTCTGGAATGTATGCATAAGTGAGACAAAATGCTTGACTTTTTTTTTTAGCTAAATCTTTTTTGTTGTTATTGATAATAATAAAAGATTCTAAATGCATGTTCTTATTCTGTATCCAAATAATTATATAGTTATTAAGGTTAACCAGCAGAAAGATGTCAGTGAATTTGCTTAGTAAAAATAATGTTTTAATGAAAACGTGAGTCCTTATAAAGCACTATTGCTTTTATATAATAAAATATTAAGGCAAGACGTTACAGGTGAATAGAGAAAAATTCCCCAGTTGACTAATCACATTAATCACATAAAGACAATTGTTTTGTGCTACAAGTTGTATGAAATGTTATGTTCAAATATGCAAATGCATGATCTAATAATTTACTTACATTTCCAGAAGTTAGAACACTGGATAAAATCAGGTTCAAAATTTTGTTAACATATTAGAGTTAAAGATTTGTACTGAGGGGATTTTTGATAGCTCTTTTTATCACTCTATAAATCAGAAAATCCTGTCAACAGCCAGAAATGAATATATTTTTAAGAAATAAAATCAAATTTATGAACAAACCCAGTAAAAACCTTCAGAATATAGCAAAAACTGTAAAGTTGGATTTATGTAGTTGCTACTGAAGTGGAGAAAAAACTCATTTTGAGAAAACAGCCTTTAAAGATATGTATTGTAATTGAAACCTACAGACGCAAATAGATTAAGTATAATAATATAAACACTTAAATGTCTATTTTGAATGTTCTCTTTCCACTAGGGTGAAAGACGGCATGAATGAAAGCAAAAAGTCTCAAAACTGACCAGTGCATGGAAAATGTAATTTAAGTGTAATTGTGCAATAATCTCCAGGGCAATACCAGCTATCATTAAAACAAGTAAAGAAGTCTAAATCTGTTGGCTTTCAACTTCCTGCAGGGCTTAATCCGCGCTTTTAATTTCTGTTTGCAGAGGGATTTGGGCTGTTGTCGTCATGGCAACTTCAGGCTACACCGCTGAGGAGCTTCCGCCCTCCCAATCACAAGGGGGCAACGTCACGACGTCCTCGTCGACCCAGCAGAAAGCCACTTCCACGTCCCAGTTCCTCTCCGACATCCAGAGCTCGCCGGGATCCGCTCCTGCACAGACGGCCTCGATCATAAGAGCACAGGCCACACCCCTTGTCACTCAAAAGAAAGTGGTTTTGACCACGCCCCCTCAAGGAGCCGTGTCAGGAGAGATACAAAGCTCCGCCTCCCAGGCAGGAAACGGCCAGAGCGCCCAGCAGTACATAGTGGTGACTGTTACCGGTGAGCACTTGCTCTTTACTAGATATGTGTGGACTTACCTTTCTCCAGTTAAGGCTGAAGCTGCAGCGCAGACCACTGGTTTATATGCAAAGTGTGTGTAATGCGATCTAACAGACACCTGACACTATCTAGGTCTCTCCCTGAATAGAAGGACCTTGAAATAAACACGCAACAGCAGCAGTGAGCTTCGCCACCCGACACACACGTTCCCTTCTGCCTGTGCTTTTTATTTAACACACTCACACGAACACATACACGTGTTTTTTCTGATGACTGCACATCATAACGCTCTAATTGGCAGCCGTTATGACACCACTGCCTACTCAGCGTCCTCATTGTGTGTGGATGAACTTCTTACCGCAGCAGCTTTATTAATTACCGCAAAGTTTACATGGGAGTGAAGGACAAAACTGTGAAACCTGATAGACCAAATATAATGACCACAATAAATTGCATATTTAAAATTAGACTATAAATGTCAATACCAAAAAAAAAATATGAAAAGAAAAAATTATGTAAATATATGCACTTTAAAAAAAATAATTTAATACTTTTATTCAGAAAGGATGTGTTAAAATAATCAAAAGTGACAGCATAATTTTACAAAAGATTTTTATTTAGATAAATGCTTTTTATTTTTAAACAATTATAATTATTTCCGAGTTAACATTGATAAGGTTTTCAACATTGATAATAATCAGAAATGTTTCTTGAGCAGCAAATCAGCATATTAGAATGATTTCTGTAAAAAAGCTTCTATATGGAAGTATAGGTTCAAATTAACTTTTTTTATAAAAATATATAGCAGATGAACATATTAATCTGTTGTATGAAAAAAGACAACAGCAAAACACCTGTGGAAAGGCTTTAGTTTAAAGCTGGTGATATCAGAGAATAATTTAATTGAGTAGAGAGATAAACTGGGAGATTCAGGAAAATACAGAAAGAAAACCAAGTAAAAAGCACAGGTCCTCATCCTTTCTTTAGCTTGATTTCTCCTCTCTCAATCTGATACCTGTGTTTACCTGAACGAGAGATTTCTCGGCCCATCTGTGGAGATTAATTGTTCAAGGCCGGCCCTTATGAGCCTGATATAAAGAGAAATGGCTGCATGTGTGTCTGTGTTCAGATCATGTTCTACAGTAGCTGTCTGTACAGTCTGGATGTGCTTTACCGTAAGTGTGAGCGCTTGTGTTATGTATATTACTTGAATGTTATGTATATAAAAAATTTAATTTGTCAGCATGAAATACTTGAGTATTTCATTATCAAAACATCAACATTATTAGAAAATAAAAATTTTATTCTATTTTAAAACTTGATATTTTGTCATAAAAAAAAATTAAAAAAAAT